CAAAATTGCTAAATCGTTAATAATTTACATGATGTAAACAATTGATAAATTATGTAAATATTTACGAATTTTGATAATGTGTAATAAAAATTATATAAACTTGAATACAAACTATAAATTACAATTATTTACACAATGTCGATAATGTGTAAATAATGTAATTTCTTCAAAAAACTAAATATTTTTGAAATAACCTTAAAAACTTAACTTTTTGAACTAAAATAATAAAGTTATAGTTATTTACACAGAGTCAACTAAGAGTAGATAATGTAAAAATGTAATAAACTTTGGTAGAAACTATAAATAACCTTGATGTACACAGATGTCAATAATAAGTAAATAAAGTAAATTCTCAACTTAAGGTAAATGACCAAAATAGACAAAACCTAGTTATTTACACAATGTCAAGTATAACTAAATAATGTAAATTTTGAAGAAATGTTCAAATATTCAAGAAAAACTTGAATAAACTCGAATACAAACCATAAATTGCAGTAATTTACACACATGTCAATAATATGTAAAGAATGTAAATTCTTAAAAAAACAAAGAAATTCTTAAATATATTTCATACAACTTAAGGTAAATGACCAAAACATACAAACCTAGTTATTTACTCAATGTCAAGAATAAGTAAAGAATGCAAATTCTTAAAAAACAATGAAATTTTTAAATATATTTTAAAAAACTTGAGGAAATTGACTTATATAGTCAGATAGTTAGTTATTTATTATAGTTATTTACATAGTGTCAACAATAGGTAAATAATGTAAATTTTTAAGAAATTTTAAAATACTCAAGTAAAACTTGAATAAACTCGAATATAAACCTAAATAGCAGTTATTTACACACATGTCAACAATATGTAATTAATGTAAATTCTTTAAAAAGTCAAACAAATTCTCAAAAAAAAAATTCATACAACTTAAAAAAAATCAACTAAAACAGCCTGAACATAGTAGTTTGCATAGTGTCAACAATAGTGTCAACAAAAGAAAAATTAAATAAACTTGAATACAAACTATGAATTTCCATGATTTACATAGATGTCAATAATATGTAAATAATGTAAATTCTTAAAAAACGAATTTTTAAATATATTTCATACAACTTAAGGTAAATGACCAAAACAGACAAAACCTAGTTACACAATGTCAAGTATAATAAATAATGTAAATTTTTAAGAATTTTTCAAATATTCAAGAAAAACATGAATAAACTCGAATACAAACCATAAATTGCAGTTATTTACACACATGTCAATAATATGTAAAGAATGTAAAATCTTAAAAAACAAAGAAATTCTTAAATATATTTCATACAACTTAAAAAAAAAATCAACTAAAACAGCCTGAACATAGTAGTTTACATAGTGTCAACAATGGGTAAATAATGTAAATTTATACGAATTATAAAAATATTCAAGTAAAACTTGAATACAAACCATAAATTTCAGTTATTTACACACATGTCAATAATATGTAAAGAATGTAAATTCTTAAAAAACAAAGAAATTCTTAAATAAATTTCATACAACTTAAGGAAATTGAGCAAAATATCCAAAATATAGTTATTTACACAGTGTCAACAATAGGTAAATAATGTAAAAGTCTACGAATTAGAAAAATATTCAAGAAATTACAATTGTATAATATGTAAATAATGTAAATTCTTCAATAATTTACTAAAATAGTCTAAAAATAGTTATAGTTACATAATGTCAACAATAGGTATAATACCTAATTTACAAATATTTACACCATGTCAACAATATGTAACTAATTCAAATACCTAAATAGTATTATAATATTATTAATTGCTTTAAAAGTCAAAAAAATACGAAAAACTTCTAAAAATATTCTCAAAATCTCCCCACATTTGTCTACCGCAAACCCTTACACGCTTTTATAATTAGTTCTAAAACATCTACTTAATATTCGCACATAAAAAGAAAAATAAAATAAATTAATTTGAAATATTTTAAGTATTTTGTTCAATATCTTTTTCTTTCTTCATTGTTAATAATTTAAATAAAATTAATGATGATGTCAAATCACCAACATCTACAAAGAGAAAAACAACACAAGTTAAAACGCGAGACATATTCGAAATGTCAAAACAATGCAAAATTTTATAAGGCAAAAACCAACTGTGAAATATTTCAAAATTAATAATTGTGAACAAGTTTTATTAATAAATTAATGACTGTATTACAACAAAAACTGAAAATTACAAGAATTCGGAAATCGAGAGTGTGTTGTTGTCGATTGCAATTAGCAAAATTGTATGAGAAATTCACCACCGCACCTTAACGAAAGGAATGTAAAAATTCGACTTCTTTTATTTATTGTTCAGACATTAAATAATGCAAAAAACAAAATAAAAAAAAAACTTAACAAATCTTTTTTCAAATGCGTGTTTAAGGTCAATATTTTTCTCTAATTTTATTTGCAAGAAAGTTTTATTTATTTACTTTGTGTTTGAAAAATGCCAAAGAAATTAAGAAGAAAACATTCTTGTAAAGAAACTAACAACAAACAAATTGGCATTGGAGCAGAGAAAAAGTAGTTTCGATTTTAATAAATATTACACCAAAGGTAAAAATATATTCTAGACTATAGACTGTAGATTAGACCATAGAATAGACAAGACTATAGAATGACTAGACTGTAGATTGCACTATAGACTAGACTATAGACTATTGACTAGACTATAGACTAGACTATAGACTAGCCTATAGACTAGACTATAGACTAGACTATAGACTAGACTATAGACTAGACTATAGACTAGACTATAGACTAGACTATAGACTAGACTACAGACTAGACTATAGACTAGACTATAGACTAGACTATAGACTAGGCTATAGACTAGATTATGGACTAGACTATAGACTAGACTATAGACTAGACCATAGACTAGACTATAGCCTAGACTATAGACTAGACTATAGACTAGACTATAGACTAGACTATAGACTAGACTATAGACTAGACTATAGACTAGACTATAGACTAGACTATAGACTAGACTATAGACTAGACTATAGACTAGACTATAGACTAGACTATAGACTAGACTATAGACTAGACTATAGACTAGACTATAGACTAGACTATAGACTAGACTATAGACTAGACTATAGACTAGACTATAGACTAGACTATAGACTAGACTATAGACTAGACTATAGACTAGACTATTGACTAGACTATAGACTAGACTATAGACTAGTCTATAGACTAGACTATAGACTAGACTATAGACTAGACTATAGACTAGACTATAGAATAGACTATAGACTAGACTATAGACTAGACTATAGACTAGACTATAGACTAGACTATAGACTAGACTATAGACTAGACTATAGACTAGACTATAGACTAGACTATAGACTAGACTAACTAGACTAGACTATAGACTAGACTAGACTAGACTAGACTATAGACTAGACTAGACTAGACTATAGACTAGACTAGACTAGACTATAGACTAGACTATAGACTAGACTATAGACTAGACTATAGACTAGACTAGACTATAGACTAGACTATAGACTAGACTATAGACTAGACTATAGACTAGACTATAGACTAGACTATAGACTAGACTATAGACTAGACTATAGACTAGACTATAGACTAGACTATAGACTAGACTATAGACTAGACTATAGTCTAGACTATAGTCTAGACTATAGACTAGACTATAGACTAGACTATAGACTAGACTATAGACTAGACTATAGACTAGACTATAGACTAGACTATAGACTAGACTATAGACTAGACTATAGACTAGACTATAGACTAGACTATAGACTAGACTATAGACTAGACTATAGACTAGACTATAGACTAGACTATAGACTAGACTATAGACTAGACTATAGACTAGACTATATACTAGACTATAGACTAGACTATAGACTAGACTATAGACTAGACTATATACTAGACTATAGACTAGACTATAGACTAGACTATAGACTAGACTATAGACTAGACCATAGACTATACTATAGACTAGACTATAGACTAGACTATAGACTAGACTATAGACTAGACTATAGACTAGACTATAGACTAGACTATAGACTAGACTATAGACTAGACTATAGACTAGACTATAGACTAGACTATAGACTAGACTATAGAATAGACTATAGAATAGACTATATACTAGACTATAGAATTGACTATAGACTAGACTATAGACTAGACTATAGACTAGACTATATACTAGACTATAGACTAGACTATAGACTAGACTATAGACTAGACTATAGACTAGACTATAGACTAGACTATATACTAGACTATAGACTAGACTATAGACTAGACTATAGACTAGACTATAGACTAGACTATAGACTAGACTATAGACTAGACTATAGACTAGACTATAGACTAGACTATAGACTAGACTATAGACTAGACTATAGACTAGACTATAGACTAGACTATAGACTAGACTACTAGACTAGACTATAGACTAGACTATAGACTAGACTTTGTTTCATTATAGGCTTTATATACGAAATGAGTGTTTCCCCTAACCAATATTTGTTTGCTGTGATATAAACGTAAACAAATGTTCTATTTAAAACGAAACACAACTGTGACGTTTTTCGCTTTATAGTTTTAGATTTTAGCTTGTTTTTGTTTTAGGCTAAATAGTATATATAGAGTATAATCGGCTGATTAACGTGTGTAAAGAATATTCTAACATTTCGCTCTTCCTTTATATAAATACTAAAAAATATGAAAATTATTTGCCTATATGTTTTGTTTGACCATAAAATTTTAATGGGATTTTATTAAAGAAATAAAAATAAACAAAAAACAATTTGAGAAAAAAAATAAGAAAATAAACACAAATTCGTCAAATTTTTGGTGAAACTCACCAAAAAAAAAAAAAAAAAACGAAAAAAAAGGAAAAATAAAATGAAAACAACTGAACAAAAAGGTGCAGCCAAAATATTTTGATTTAATTTTCTTTTTGTCATTTGTTAGCGAGAAAACACGGTGTTTATACCTTGAAATTTAAACGCGGTGTTGATTTTCTTTTTTTCTTAAAAAAATTTTTTGTTTAAATTGTTGAAATTAATTAAATAAACGACAAATAACTTATGGTGTCAATCAATACGTATTTTTAAATTGTTTTTTTTTTTACAAAAAAAAAAAAAAAAAAATTACCGGTTAGCAGCGATTCACTACGTGATTCATTTATCTCAGATGCCGCATAATTGTTTTATTTACAAATAATTTTATTTTTAATTACAATTAATGATTTCGACAGAGTGTTCTAAATTTCTAATTAAGAAAATTTGAACAAAAAAACACACATACAAACTGTTTGTAAGCAATCAAAACAGAAGAACAAAAACGAGAGTTCCTTATTATTTTAACGATTTATCAACGATTTGATTAGTAGCAAATCGATCGATTAACACGAAACAACTTCGAACAATTTATTTTCTTTTTTTTTTGGTTTTTGGTGAATTTTTTATTTTAAATAAAATTAAACGCAAAGTGGTCGTTGTCGTCGTCGTTGCCAGCAGTCTGCCTACTTCCAACAGCCAAAGAGACCAGACAAGCCAATTCATTTAGTGTTTGAGTAGCTGCTTGAAAAAAAACACATACAAATTTTCACCTAGACCTTGAAAAATTATCCAGAATTTCAAAAAAAATATAAATCTTTGGGAAAAATATGTAATTTATAAAGAATATTTTTGACAGTGTATCAAATGAGCCGTTAAATGTTAATAATTTATGTTAAAGTGCATAATTTTTTGGTGAATTACACAATCGTGGTGAATTTTATATAATATTGAAATTGAAATAAAACAAAAATATTAAAAGAATTATAGAAAATTCATAAAATAGTGTGTTTCCAACACTCAAGTGTAAACAGTTTAAATTTTAAAAAATTTTAAAAGAAAATTATTGAAAAAAAAAATATATTCCCAAAACAAAAAGTGCAATCAAAGTACTTGATTACGCAAGTGAAAAAATATATACAAATGTTTTATTTTTCTCATTACGCGTTAAAAATTTTCAATCAAATCCCACAACAACTACAACAACTGCAGCAACAATAATTTTCAAATTAAGACGAAAAGAAACACACTTAATTTAACAAAAAAAGAAACGAGAACAATTTCACACAAATTGCACAAAAAAAGTATTTCAAACAAAATGGGTGAATTATTTGCAGAATTTGGTGATTTAGTGTTTACACTGGTCATTGGCTATATCAGTGCCATTGAATTTTTGTATGTCGTACGTCATCTGTATCACTACTCATTCAATCATGACGATCAGGGGTATGCTGATGATGGGGAAAGTTTGTCACAGCTGCAAGACAGCATGCGCCAACAGCTGATCAATGCCAAAAACAGAGAAGCTCTTGCTGGAACGCAGGTAATGAAAGATGGTGTTCCCTATAAGGATGGTTTTCGCTTGGAGGCCCAACAATCTTTAATAGAGCAATTGAAAGAGCAGCTAAAGGACAAAGAATTGTCCGACTTAAGGCGCCAGGAATTGGAGAAGGAATTGGCTAAACAAATGAAAATAGCCGATCAATTGCGCAAAGAATTGGCCGAAGCGGAAGCTAAATATGAGCGTCAGCTTAAGCTGGAAGAGGAGGAAAGGGCGAAAAAGCTTAAAGAAGAACAACAGAAGCGTGAGAAAGAAGAGCAAGCCAAAAAAGAGGCTGAAGAACAGGCACGTAAGTTAAAAGAAGCTGAAAAGCAAAGAGAGGCTGAACAGCGTAAACGTGAGCAAGAAGAGCAAGCGAAAAAAGAGGCTGAAGAACAGGCACGTAAGTTACAAGAAGCCGAAAAGCAAAGAGAGGCCGAACAGCGTAAACGTGATGAAGAAGAGCGTGTAAGAAAAGAAGCTGAACAACAAGAGAAAGAGAAACGTGAGCGTGAAGAACAAGCACGCAGAGAAGCCGAAGAACAGGCACTAAAATTGGCGGAAGCGGAAAGGCAAAGAGAAGCCGAACAACGACAACGAGAGGAAGCTGAAAATGCTCGTAAATTAATAGAAGCCGAACAGCAAAGAGAGGCAGAAGAAAATGCTCGACGAATAGCAGAAGCAGAAAAACAAAGAGAGATCGAGCAACAGCAAAGAGAAAAGGCTGAAGAAGCCGAAAAACAAAGAGAAGCCGAACAACGTAAACATGAAGAAGCAGAGGCAGAAGAAAACGCACGTCGTCTCCTGGAAATAGAAAAATCCAATGAAGAAAGACAAGCCGCCGAAGAAGCCGAAGCAGAGGCTAAAAAACTACTCGAAATCGAACATCGTTTAGAAGAACAACTGAGAGCGGCCGAACGAGAAGCAGAACTCACGGAAAAAGAACGACAACTCATCGAGTCCATTAAGCAACGAGACCTACCCCAAGACGAGGGTAATGAACAAAAAGAAGCTGAACTATTAAGAAAAATACTAGAGGCACGCGAGCAATTAGGCGAAGAGTCGGAGGAGGAACAAAGTCTACGACTCATACAACGTGAACGTGATCAGGAAGCTAAACAAAAACGCATAGAAGAAAATGCTTTACTGTTTTTGGAGGCAGAAAAAGAAATGGCCGAACTGCAGGCTAAAATGTTGGATGCAGTGGAAAAGAAAGAATTTACCTCCTCCCTAGATAGTGCGCCCCAAACACCGGCTGTAGAGGAGCCTTGTATAAAAAGAACTGTATCGCCCTTAATGGGTGGAGAAACAGTACATCATACTGTGAAAACACAATTGGCTCAGGATTTGGACGAACCCTATTCGGTGAGCAGCAAAACTTTGCTCTTTCCCGGTGTATCAGATGATGCCTCCTCCATAGATCCCGCCTCTAGTCAGCAATCCTCGTTTAGCACCCAACCATCGGAAGAGATAACCACGGGCACTGATTCTCAATATCCTCAACAGGAACGTCAAGAACCCGATGGTGAGGATACCGCTTTAAATAACCTACAATACTCGGATGATTATTTGCGTTCCCTGGATGGCATTAAACAACGACCACTAGTGCGCGAAGATGGTTCAGGACGTCGGCGCGCTTTCAAAAAGAGACGCTCTAGCAACAGTTCAAATTCCTCACGTGAATCGAGACACTCACGTGATGAAGAATTGAAAATGTTCACCTCTTTGGAGGAGGAAGAAATGAAAGACACCGCTGATTCGGAATTTACCCCCATACGTTACACCAGTGAACCCACTTTGAAAGTAAAGGGACACCATCGACGCCACAAACGTAGTCCCGCCAAAGATATGCGCCATGGCGACGATAGCTTACGCAGCTCCCTGGAACGTTTGGGTGAAGAAACCAGTGATCCCTGGGGTGAAGTGAAACCCGAACATTATAAACATACTGAATTCTGGAAAAGAGAGAAAACCCTATCGATAGATGAAGAAACGGAATTTGAAAAACCGGCTTCTAGTGAAGAAGTAGCCTATGATACAGCGACCAACATGCCAAGTGCTTCATCTTTTGAGGAAGCTACTCAAATGCAGAATGAAGAGGCTTTAACGGCTTTACAACGGCACTCTGCTAATTGGGAAGGAAAGGTAAGTGGTTTATCGAAGATTGAAGAAATTGAGGGATAAGTTAATTTGTTGGTTTTATTTTTATACGTTTAGGAAAGGGAATCGGATAATAAAGCTACTGCGAAAGAAGAAACAACAAGAAGTGACAATACAAATGTAAGTTGTTGTTATTTTGTAATTATCATGCGTTTATTAAACAAATTCTTAAGGAGATTTTGGATGAACTTCTGAGTGGTTACTGTGAAGTCATGGCATTGATTGGATATAATCGAGGAGCTACAAAAACTATTGCCCTTTCTTTAAAAGTCAGACCAATGTCTTAAGTTATCACAGTCTTGGACTTTCTATTTGAAAACTCGTATAACATATGTCTTCCAAAATCTTAAAATCTGAAGAGAAAACTGATGTTTAGCTATTCTCATTAAGAGTATGTGAACAAGAAGTCTACTGAGCTCAAATCACGACAAACCAGGAAATATATCCCTAGAACTTTACAATACAGAAAGGTCCTGACCTTTCATTATATTAACAAAAGCTATTGACCCCTCAGAAGTTTCTAAAAATCTCCGGAAAGAATTGACTTCATCTTTAACGTTTTAAATTAAAAAAACCCAAACTCATGGAACTTAACAAAATTTTTAAGAATTAGGAGCTTTTAACATGGCCCTAACCAATCCATATCCATCACTACATTTCCATTTAATCATTCACCTCAGCTTTTTATATATAATACTCAAGCTTTTAATACTTCTTATCCTCTAATTTTGTATGCGCTTTAAAATTTATGCTTTTTCCTGCTCGCTCTACCTCTCTCTCTCTGACAATGCTTAGCTACAAACCTCCCAAACAGCGGAGAGAAAAGCTTCACCCGCACGATCCTCAGCTTCGCCACGCTTACGACGTAGTCCACGTATAGAAGAAATCGATCAATACGAAGAACGCTGGAATAAAGGCAACGATAGCTCGCCCAGCTCAACGCAGAATACTCCCACCATAAGTGTACAAACTCCTTTGGATTTTGGACCCTGGCGTGATGAATATGGCCTAATGATGGAGGGTTTAAGTTCCTTCTACGATTTTCAAGCTTCAGTAAATCCATCACGTTCTAGATCTGCCTCTAGAAATCCTTCTCCGGCTAATACCGCACCAAATACACCTTTACCCAAAGATGTGTCTTTTCAATTGGAAATTTCAAATGAAGAAAGCAATACTGTAGAAGTATATGATGACACAGGAGACTTGGACACAAATGAGTTTAAAAAGGAAAACATTATTAAGTTTATAGACTCCATTAATGGTAATGAAGATGATAGAGAAAATAAAGAAGAAACTGAAATTGAATCAGCTTCAGAAGATCATGTTGGTTTAAAACATCACATACAATTAGTGGCTGATGATCAGAGCAGTTCAGAAGTACAGAAAGCAAGCTTAGTGCCTTTGGTTAATGTTATAGAAGATGTGACGGTTGCCTCTTCCAGCTTAGAAGTTACTGAATCCACTGACATCGAAATGAATGACTTGGTGAGGAGCTTAAGATCACAACAAGCTGGTGGTAGATCACGTTCTCGCTCTAAATCTCCTTTGCCTACACCTGGTAATTTGCAACGTAGTTTGGAAAATCGCCGCTATAAAATGATCAAACACAATGAAGACATTCTAGAAAAACTAATCGAATCCAAATTATTACCCGAACTAAGTCCGGCAGAACAGCTAGAAGAACAATCCAAACTAGAGAAAAAAGATACTTTAGAAACCAAAGAAGAAACCGAAACTAACACTCAAGAAGAAATGAATTCTTTGGTACAAACCCTGCGAGTAGACAGAGGTAGATCAAGATCCAAAAGTCCTATGCGTTTACCCACTGCAGAAAATTTAAGCAAAGGTTTGGAAAAGCGCCGCAGTAAGTTAATAGAACGCAATGATGAACTTATAAAGCAAATTGAGGAACGATCTCAAACTCCCGAATCCCCAACCGTAACAGTGGAGTATGTTTACGAATTAGAGGGAACGGAAGAGACAAATATTTCAACACTCAATACCCCAACTATATCTTTTGAATCACCACAAAATGAAGCAAGTGTATCGCCCACAGAAGAGGAGGATGATTGTTCAAGAGAAAAAATGAATTTATTAGTGGAAACATTACGTGCAGCTCGCAGTAGGTCAAGTTCGAGAAGTCCCATGCGTCTTGCCGAGGGAGAAACCATCAATCAAACTTACTATCAATTTCAACAATCGGAAGAAGTAAATGTTAGACAACAAACGGAGATTTTAAATGCTCCCACTATATCGATAGATTTCGCAGAAAGTGACCATGAAACAAAAACATCACCTAAGTTAGAAGATGATTGTTCTCGACAAGAAATGGATTTATTGGTACAATCTCTGCGCATGGCTAGAAGTAGATCAACATCCAAAAGTCCCATGCGTTTGCCCGCCACGGACAATAATAATCTACTTTTGCAACATATGACCGAGAGAGCTAAAACGCCCGAACCTTCTGCTTTCAATGAATTTGAATCTGAAGAACGTGATAGACATTCAAGATCTCGAACTCCCTCACGTTCTCACTCCAAATCACGTTCACCTTCATTGCCACCCAGACCATATGAAGCCGAACTGGCAGCCTTTCGATCTAAAACACCTTCTAGATCGGTATCACCTCAGCCAGAGGAGTATGATGAAATCCACGCACTCTCATTAAGTACAGAGGAAAATGAATTATTGATTTTAGCCAATCGTCAAAAACAATTAGATGAAGAGGCTTTAGAGAAATTAAAAACTGCTTCGGAAGAAATGGAGTTGCGAACACTGTCTCCTTTGATCTTAGATAAAGATGAGCTTAGTGAACAACAGGGACAAGATCTTTTAGCTGATTTGCCTATAACCGAAAGAGCTAAACTCTTAAGAAAATCACCCACTACACCCGACTATGATCGCACTATATCGGAGGAAATGCGCGATATAGAACGTATTAAACAGGAAAGACTAGAAAGAGGTTTTCAACGATCCACATATGTGGGTGAATCTATGGATTTGGGTAGTGAATTTGAGCCGTTAAGAAGAGAAGCTGCACATTTCAAACGTTCTCGTAGTCCTTCGCCTTCTTTTTCGGGCATCGACGTGGAATCAGCTAAGAAAGCAGCCGAGGAAAAACGTCAATTACAGGATATAATATTGCAGGAATTAACCACTACTTCCAGCAGCACTGAGCCTAAAAATACCGGAGCCATACCTAAAACTGATCGCTTAAGTTCTTGTGAAATTGAACTAACACTTACCAATGAAATCGAGGATACTATACGCATTAAGGAGGAAATGTTAAATATTGGTGTGCAAAGTCCTATGGACGATTTAGAAGAAATGAGACGTAGAAATGCTGAATTTAGAAGATCAGGCAGTGCAAGCCGCTCGCCTTTAAATGAATCTCAGTTACAGGAATTGGCGTCTATTGAGACTGCTGCTGCTAAACGTGAATTAAAAGATAAGGTGATTCATGAAATTGCCTGCACTACCATGAATTTTCAAGATTTCTCACGTCATTTAAACACAGATTTCTTTGCCACTGACCGCAGAGCCTCCGATTCGGCTTTAATACAAAAACCCGAAATTTTAGTGCAATTACATGAAGATATAGACATGGAACCTGAGGAATATCATCACTTTCGCAGATTCTCTTTAGCACAAGAACAGCCTGAGGAGACCTATCCAAGTGATGATTATGTATTTATACAAGAAGTGGAGGTGAGAACTCGTAGCGGTTCTAGAACTTGGTTAAGAGAAGATTTTTACAGCGAAGAAGTTGATAAGTACTTGGCAAAGAGTGAAGAGGCTTCAGGGAGTTCAGCAGAAAGAGAAAATATCGATATTGCAGAAGTTGAGAACGTAGAAGAGGCGGAAGAAAATGTGGAAGCTAATGATGATGATGAAGAGTACTCCAATGCTAGTGATGATGATAGACAAACTGTGGTTGAGGTGGATGATGAAATCGATGAGGATATTTCCGATTTCAATGAACGTGGTCCGGCCGAAGAATCTCATCATGAAACCTCCGAATGCGAGGAGGCAGAACGTGAAATGGATCGTTATGCTGATCGAGAAGCCAGTGACTGGAATCGTGTGGTAGATGTGGATGATATTGTTGTTAATGAAAATCCTGCTAATGAACTGGTTACTAGCGAGGAGGATGAGGGAGCTGTAGGAGGTTTAAGTAATTCCCCGTACGACTCAGACTCCTTCGCCATCGATCAAATTTATGATGAAGCCATTAAAAATCGTAAGCAGTCGGGTATTTTAAGAGAGTATGATAGTATACTAATGCAAATGTCGGTTAGCAGTGATGTAGATGAACAGTACTTGTTGTGGTCTAAGACACAGGGCAAAAAGAAACCCAAGAATATAGAATTTAATACCCAATTCCTGGATAATGAACGTAAGGAATCAGAAATGCGTTATTTGGGCGATGCCAATGTTACGGCAAGACAATCAGCCCGTTTAAGATCTCGTTATGGTTATAATCCCGTATTACAGGCCAAATGTATTGATGATGATTTGGAAGTGGATTTAAATTATAAACCTAAAAGGGAATATAACTGGCGTAAGAATTTCAAATTAGAAGAGGAGGATATAAAAGAGGATAAGGAAGTGACTTTAAAAGATTTGGATTTTGGAGAAGAACAAGTTGAAAATGAGCAAACAGATAAACTAGAACAAGTGGCAAATGGTGATGAAGAGCAAGAAGTTGAGAATATAGATAAACGTAAATATAGTATAGGAGGCGAGAGTGTTACTCTATTTAGTCAAAGTCCTGAAAAAGATAGACAAATTAGTGAGGACTTATATAAAGATACTGAAGAACCTGTAAAGGAAGAACTTAAAGAGGAAAAAGTAGAGAAACCCAAGAAAAAGAAAACCAAAAAGAAGCTACACAAAAAAGAATCCAAAGACAGCTTGGAGGAGACAATGAACAGAGAAGATGAAGATGTTTACGATAATGAAATGTATAATCGCCGCAGCAGTAGCATACAAATGGAAACAGATTCACCCAAACGCAAATCACGTTCAAGACGCAGCTCAAGAAGCAGCATAACAAATGAAGATTCTCTAGGACTCTTTTCACCACGCAGCAGTGTTGCCTACAATGAACCCATAAACGATATAATGGAAGAATCTACAGATATGGCTAAAGAAACATCGAGACCCAAAAAAATGAAAAAACGCAAGAAGGTTAAGGAACCCATGGCCGATGTAGCGGAAAGTCCCATAGAAACTAAAGAAGAATTGCAGTACAGTTTAGAGGCCTTAAATGATATACCAGCGGTTTCTACAGTTATAACACCCAACTCTTCTAGTGCCAATATACTCTCTACTCTCAGTCCTCAGAATAGTATTTGTGTTACCCCGGGTTCTATAGAAACAGATATTAGCCTATCTGTGGAGGAGTTAAGGGAGGAGGTTAAGGAAGCTACGAACAGCTCGAATACTACTAGTTCCTCTACCACTGCTAGTAGTCCATCTGGCAATCTATCACGAACTTCTTCTATAGTCACAACACCAGTGGATACGTTTGATATTTTAAAGGATGCCAACTTCTATCCGCTATTCTAGGACAGGAAAATGTAAATATTTGAAAAATAGGAAATGTGTTTTAATTGTGAGAAGTTTAAGGGGTTTTTTCTAACTTTTCTTTAAAAAAGTCAAAGGTCAATAGGTCAGAAAAAGCAGTATAACTTGCAAATTTAGTTCAAGCTTAAAAGGACAAAAGGTCAGTAGCACAAAATCATTGCTACAACTTCAAATGACCTACCGTACTACAGATTTTGTTTAGCTAACCTTTGACCTTTTATAAAGAAAAGTCTGAGAAAGTCACCTAAATTAACCAACGTTGGTATCGTTAAACAATTTTCGTGTGATAGTCTGCGTTACGTTACGTTTCCTTGGTTAGCGTTAGCGTTGTATATTTTTCTCCTTACGTGTTGGATTACGTTTTTTGCTTAATGTTTTTTTATGTTTTTACGTTATTATTTGTTGGCTAAAGTATTTATTTAATTTATGTATCTTTTTTATTTTATTTCTTTATTTTTTTTTAGACATGTTCATGAAATTTAAACAAAATATAGATAAAAAACCAAAAAATTATTCCCAAGTAGCAAAATTGCACAAAATATATATAATATTTTGTTTGTACGTTTTATACGCTTCCCGACCGTTCGTCCCATCCTGCCCGCCTAGTGCCACATCAGCATCTGCACTTGAGACTGTATTTCAAAAAAAAAAAATAAATATATAAAAAATATATAACGCAAAATCCAACAACTACAATATATCATCACAACACGACACATGCTATGATCGACAACAGCAACAACAACAAAAAAAGACACAAATTTTTGCTCAAGTGTGGAAGCCAACAAGCTTGACAAGGTTTTACATCTCCTTGAAAGAAACAAATTTTCTACGCATACTAGAGCAAGATAAATTGTTCTTTTTTTAAAATGTTTATGAATGAATTTATGTTTTATATTGCAACTGATTACTTATATAGAATAAATAAATATTTGATCTTGTAAAAAAAACACAACAAAACCAAAACCAATTGTATGTAGCCAAAGTTGTTTTTAGCTATTTAGTTTAATTTAATTAAATTTTTTGCAAATTTTCTTAAATAAATTATTTTTATTTCAAAAATATATATGAAAATAGCTTATGGTTTCATTTACTCATTGCTCCCCTCCAAAAGAAATCATTATTATTACTTCTCCCAATTTTATATTTAGCTTAAATTTTATTTTTATAACAGAATGCGGACATTTTTTGGGGCGAAATGATTTGCGTGTATTCATTCCATTTACATACATTACAAGCAAATAAAGGAAATTCCCAGCCATTGAAAGCCAGAAAATCACGTTTGGCATTTAACAATTGCCAACGAGTGCAATTATATCTTCCAAATGTTTTAATGCAAAATAGTAAAACAAATAGATTGAGGGGAAGGTATGCCTTGCTAAATATCACCAAGTATTTCATTAGATTAAGTACTTATGCATACACACCTATGTAGTAGAAAATCTTTACCAGTTATTTTGTCAAGATCTATAGTCTAGTCTATAGTCTAGTCTATAGTCTAGTCTATAGTCTAGTCTATAGTCTAGTCTATAGTCTAGTCTATAGTCTAGTCTATAGTCTAGTCTATAGTCTAGTCTATAGTCTAGTCTATAGTCTAGTCTATAGTCTAGTCTATAGTCTAGTCTATAGTCTAGTCTATAGTCTAGTCTATAGTCTAGTCTATAGTCTAGTCTATAGTCTAGTCTATAGTCTAGTCTATAGTCTAGTCTATAGTCTAGTCTATAGTCTAGTCTATAGTCTAGTCTATAGTCTAGTCTATAGTCTAGTCTATAGTCTAGTCTATAGTCTAGTCTATAGTCTAGTCTATAGTCTAGTCTATAGTCTAGTCTATAGTCTAGTCTATAGTCTAGTCTATAGTCTAGTATAGTCTAGTCTATAGTCTAGTCTATAGTCTAGTCTATAGTCTAGTCTATAGTCTAGTCTATAGTCTAGTCTATAGTCTAGTCTATAGTCTAGTCTATAGTCTAGTCTATAGTCTAGTCTATAGTCTAGTCATAGTCTAGTCTATAGTCTAGTCTATAGTCTAGTCTATAGTCTAGTCTATAGTCTAGTCCATAGTCTAGTCTATAGTCTAGTCTATAGTCTAGTCTATAGTCTAGTCTATAGTCTAGTCTATAGTCTAGTCTATAGTCTAGTCTATAGTCTAGTCTATAGTCTAGTCTATAGTCTAGTCTATAGTCTAGTCTATAGTCTAGTCTATAGTCTAGTCTATAGTCTAGTCTATAGTCTAGTCTATAGTCTAGTCTATAGTCTAGTCTATAGTCTAGTCTATAGTCTAGTCTAAGTCTAGTCTATAGTCTAGTCTATAGTCTAGTCTATAGTCTAGTCTATAGTCTAGTCTATAGTCTAGTCTATAGTCTAGTCTATAGTCTAGTCTATAGTCTAGTCTATAATCTAGTCTATAGTCTAGTCTATAGTCTAGTCTATAGTCTAGTCTATAGTCTAGTCTATAGTCTAGTCTACAGTCTAGTCTATAGTCTAGTCTATAGTCTAGTCTATAGTCTAGTCTATAGTCTAGTCTATAGTCTAGTCTATAGTCTAGTCTATAGTCTAGTCTATAGTCTAGTCTATAGTCTAGTCTATAGTCTAGTCTATAGTCTAGTCTATAGTCTAGTCTATAGTCTAGTCTATAGTCTAGTCTAAGTCTCATAGTCTATAGTCTAGTCTATAGTCTAGTCTATAGTCTAGTCTATAGTCTAGTCTATAGTCTAGTCTATAGTCTAGTCTATAGTCTAGTGTATAGTCTAGTCTATAGTCTAGTGTATAGTCTAGTCTAGTGTAGAGTCTAGTCTAAAGTCTAGTCTATAGTCTAGTCTATAGTCTAGTCTATAGTCTAGTCTATAGTCTAGTCTATAGTCTAGTCTATAGTCTAGTCTATAGTCTAGTCTATAGTCTAGTCTATAGTCTAGTCTATAGTCTAGTCTATAGTCTAGTCTATAGTCTAGTCTATAGTCTAGTCTATAGTCTAGTCTATAGTCTAGTCTATAGTCTAGTCTATAGTCTAGTTTATAGTCTAGTCTATAGTCTAGTCTATAGTCTAGTCTATAGTCTAGTCTATAGTCTAGTCTATAGTCTAGTCTATAGTCTAGTCTATAGTCTAGTCTATAGTCTAGTCTATAGTCTAGTCTATAGTCTAGTCTATAGTCTAGTCTATAGTCTAGTCTATAGTCTAGTCTATAGTCTAGTCTATAGTATAGTCTATAGTCTAGTCTATAGTCTAATCTATAGTTTAGTCTAGTCTATAGTCTAATCTATAGTTTAGTCTAGTCTATAGTCTAGTCTATAGTCTAGTCTATAGTCTAGTCTATAGTCTAGTCTATAGTCTAGTCTAGTCTATAGTCTAGTCTATAATCTAGTCTAGTCTATAGTCTAGTCGATAGTCTACTATAGAGAGTAAATTGCTTAAATTTTTTTTTTTTTTTTTTTTGAGTCCTTAAAAACTCGCGTATGTCAAGTGGTCGAGAAAGAATTTTCTTCTCTTACGTCTTTCAACAGTTGTAATATTACAAGTTTCATAATACGTATTCCAAATCTTCTATCACTCTGTAAGAATTTCCTTTAACACCTAAAGGTATGCCACAAATTTTAGCGTTATAAAAGAAAACAAATTCATACAATACACTCAAGAAATGTGAACAGTCATTTTAACATTTCAAATAAACAAATTTATGTTTTTTTCTTATTTATACAAATTTTCTTAGTTTTTTGTGTTTTCACATAAAAAAACAAAATGTTTTCTTCAAAAACATCATTTTTTCAAACAATTTCTTGTCACTTTTCATGACCGCAGTGCCAAAAAAAAACAAATCTAATTGAAAAAAAAATTTCAAATAATTTTTCATTTTTTGCCAACATCATTCATTTCAAAAAGAGACACACATTTATTTGTGAAAATTTTTTTTAAAAATACTTCAAAAACTTTTAAACATAAAAAGGGAAAAATTATGATGAAAAGAAAAACAAAAACGTTTTCGTATTCTTATTGTCATATTTTGCAAAATTTAAATAAAAACTGACATTGAACAAACAAAGTGTGTCATACTAAATAATTTATGTTCTTCATTTTTTCGTGACAAAAAGGGGCAATAACTACAACAATAATAAATTAGAAAAAATTTGTGTTGTTTTTTTGGGGGCTTTTTAATAGTTGGTTTGGAAATTGTTTAAATTTTCTTTTTATTACATAATTTTTGAAATATTTAGGGGAATAGTTTTAAACTATTTTAAGTGATTTTTAATACCTTTTCGAGGTATGGCAGAGGAAGTATGTTTGATTTTTTATACAGTTTGTGAAAGTTTTAAAATTTAGACAAGTTTTTTTTTAAAAAAATTCAAAAAGTTTTTTTTAATGATTAGATCATCTGCCTTGAAGCTATTCTATTGCTCTTTAATATACTTTCGTTCTTCATTTATGAATTATACAGATTACTGTTCGTTTATATTATTCAAAATTTTTAACCATTACCAATTCCGTCACCTACCTTACACTAAATCTATTATACTTTTCCCAATACTATAGCGCTTAAAACAAATTCGAAAAATACAAACAATATGGATTTTCCATATAATTATATTTCTAGCCTCATAATTTGGTCTACTAAATCTATAAGTAAAAAAAATATTGTTTATACTCCTCAAAAAAAAAACGGTACTCATCTTGTATTTAAACATCAATCTAATAAATATATTAAATAATCGTACATATATAAATTATTTTTGATTTATTACTTAATTTTTGACGAGTTGTGTCTGTTCGATGAAATGAAAACAAAAACAAACTGGTCATAATGGCTTTTTAATTTTAAAATGTATACCCTACCTTTTTGGAGTGGGTGTACAAAGTACGCTAGTACGTTTGGAAAAATCATATAGTCAAGATCAAGACTAAACTATAAACTGATCACAAATATATTGCAATCAGATCTGTTCATAGATCAGTCTATATGCAAGGCTATAGATCAGTTTATAATGAAGACTATAGATCTTTCTATGGTCAAGACTATAGATTATTATATAGTCAAGACAATAGATCATTCTATAGTCCAGACTATAGATCATATTAAAGACTAGAGATCATACTATAGTCAATACTATTGATCATTCTATTGTCAAGATCATTCTATAGTCAAGATTATAGATCATTCTATAGTCAAGATTATAGATCATTCTACGGTCAAGATTATAGATCATTCTATGGTCAAGACTATAGATCATTCTATAGTCAAGATTATATATCATTTTATGGTCAAGATTATAGATCATTCTATAGACAAGACTATAGATCTGTCTATAGTCCAAACTATAGATCAGTCTATAGTCAAGACTATAGATCAGTCTATAGTCAAGACTATAGATCAGTCTATAGTCAAGACTATAGATCAGTCTATAGTCCAGACTATAGATCAGTCTATAGTCAAAACTATAGATCAGTCTATAGTCAAGACTATAGGTCAGTCTATAGTCCTGACTATAGATCAGCCTATAGTCAAGACTATAGATCAGCCTATAGTCAAGACTATAGATCAGTCTATAGTCCTTACTATAGATCAGTCTATAGTCAAGACTATAGATCAGTCTATAGTCCTTACTATAGATCAGCCTATAGTCAAGACTATAGATCAGTCTATAGTCAAGATTATTGATCAGTCCATAGTTAAAAATATATATAAATTAACAGACAATATCTTGTCTATAGATCTGTCTATAGTCAATACTATAGATCAGGCTGTAGTCCAGACTATAGATCATTCTGTAGTTCAGACTATAGATCAGTTTATAGTCAAGACTATAGATTAGTCTGTAGTCCAAACTATAGATCAGTCTATAGTCCAGACTATAGATCAGTCTATAATCAAGGCTATAGATCAGTCTATAGTCAAGACTATAGTTCTGTCTATAATCCAGACTATAGATCAGTCTATAGTCAAGACTATAGATCAGTCTATAGTCAAGACTATAGATCAGTCTATAGTCCTTACTATAGATAAGTCTATAGTCAAGACTATAGATCAGTCTATAGTCCTTACTATAGATCAGCCTATAGTCAAGACTATAGATCAGTCTATA